ATTATAGATCAAGCGAAAAATATAATTGTTTGGAAATAATATCTTAAAACGGTATTATTAATTATTTTTTAGATTCTACCAAGGATTTTTAACTGTACCCTACCAATTACTTTTTTGTTCAATATTGTATGATTCTAGAAAATGAAATTAATACAAAAATATAATATTTTGTGTATACATGCTTTATATATGTCAGGTTAGTTATGCTAAAATTATTGAAGTATATATGTGATCTTCAAAAGTTGAATCAAGTGAATCTGCAGCCCAATCAGTAACACTGGTTGGCAGACGGATTTCGTACTCTGTATTACTTGGAACATTTGGTGTTGTTGGTATAACTCCGCTATTATCAATGATCAAATCATCTTTCCTTTGTGATTCCATAGCTTGTTCTAGAGCTGCTCCATCAACACCACTGGCTTGCAGAGGAATTTCATATCCTGTGTCACTTGGTAAATTTGGTGTTGTTGGTATAGCTTCGTTATTATAATTGATCAAATCATCTTTCCTTCGTGATTCCATAGCTCGTTCTAGAGCAACTCCACCAACACCACTGGCTTGCAGAGGAATTTAATACCCTGTATCACTTAGTACATTTGATGTTGTTGGTATAACTCCAACATCATCATTAACTGAATGATCATTCCTTTGTGATGGCATAGATCGTTTTGCGGCACCACTGGTTGGCAGAGGAATGTTTTCATACCTTGTGTTATCTGGTGTATTCGTTGCTGTTGGAACTGCACTACACACTGAACTAGCCACCACTGACATTTCTCTAGGTGGGTTGGGAGCACTACTGGTTTGAATGTTGTTCATATTTGTAGTATGTTCCGTTTTCTTATGGTTTTTATAATACCACCTAATTAAGAAAAAAAAAATATGTCATCATTGTTATCAAGTAACACTTAAGCAAAAAAAAACCATAGCTATTTAAACAGGCCTGTAATTTCATAAAATCAAACAACAATGTCAATATAGAGAGTGTAATAGCAAAACCAACATTCTGAATATCAAAAATATAATATAGGCCTAACTAAAAAAAAATAAATAAATAAAATAAAATTCTTAAAAGAAATGTACCTAAATATGAATAGAAACACTACCTGCAGATGAAGACAAGTAATGTACACATCACGACGAAGGCAAAGACTATGTATACTATTATCAGGTAGGTTGATGCATAATGCTCTAAGAATACAGAATATAATTATTTAATTGCTTATTATATAAAAAAAATACAAAAAAACCAACATTAACCAAAAATACTCTTATTGTCATATAGTTCATAATTATAATAGAAAACATTAAAAAGGTGAAAAGAGAGAATTGCTGCTGAGGCGTACTTCACCGAATCATTAAAATAGAATTTAGACATATACCTACGATAGTTAAGTTGAAGAGTACAACAATCCATCGCAGTGACTTATGAAAAATGATTTCCAATCATCAACAAATCATGTTGCTGAATATCTGTTGTGATTGTGATAAAATCATTTATTGTTTATTTAAAATAATGTGTAAATTAATTTATGAATTACATGTGGTTGTGCAGACAGACACCCTTCCTCACCAAAAAAATTACTCACATCCTCCTCCCCATATGTTGTTGTTATATTCAAAACATATGACAATCACAAACAGCTTTCTATATGCTACCAAATTATAAAACTTTGTCCACACTTTACATTTTATGTGACAAATTTGTGTGATGATTTGTCACATAAAATATGACAGTGCGGACAGACCTTTAGTGAGGTTTGTAGTATTAGTATAATTCACTGGACAACTAGCTATGTAACATTTTACAATCTTGAAGCCACTGACAACAACTGACTGAAGCCTACAGGGTTTCTACCTCAAAGTCAGTCAGTTCCAATCCCAGTATTGCATAAAAGGCAGATATAAGTGTTGCCCGATGCTACACAACGGTAAGTGGAAGGGCACGGTGAGGTTTCGCATGCTGACACTGAATTGGGACGGTATTAGAAAAGTAGGATTTTTCTTTCATTATTATCATCACAATAATAATCATCATCATCATCTCCACTATCATAATCATTGACATAATCACAATGACTATCACTACTATCATAATCTTTATCATTCCATCATCAACATTTTACCACTACTATCATTATATTTTATTATCATCATTCTTATCTCCACAATCATAATTATCATGTTTAAAATATTTTTGTGATTGTGATCATTACATTATAACCATCATAATTGGAGCTTGCCCATGCCAAAAACCAGCTTTAGTAAACAACACAATAAAATTGACTTTTTTTAAATTTTCGTATTCTCCACATTATCATTTTAATGTAAATATTTGAAAAACAAAACACACAACAAACATTTCTACCATTATTTTGATGTAATTAATTATTTCAAAAGTTATGAATAAAAGTATAGACGAATCCAAGAAGAATGGTGCCCTCTTTTGTCGACGCCATTACTGGGGAGTCCCCTACTCGTAATTTCAATGCGGCGTGGTGCACTATAAACGGACGGTATCAAGCAGCTGTTACTGTCAAAGAAAACCGTATTTTTCAACGACTACTGTACTGCGTTGATAAACACAACACAACATTAGATCTTCCAACTTCGGAAGTGCCACCCTAGAATTTGTGGCGACAAAAGAGGGCGACGTTCAAAAAAGTTCTCTTGGATTCGTCTATTACTGCTTCTCTGTACTAAAGTTTACAATACCCTCATATTCTTATGCTAATTACTCAACATTTACCTACAGTCTGCTGGCTTTGGGATGGGAAGTCTCAATCATCATTAACCCAACTACTGTATTACATTAATCATCACCATCACTATTATTACAATCATAATATTCATTGTCATAATATCACCACAACTTTTTTTCAATCTCTTCTTTTACACAGTATTCTTCTTATAAATATTGTAGATAGATGTCAGCTTTAAAATAAATTTTGAAGCTGGTTAGGCAAATAATTATATATAATATTTCAAAAATGCTATACAATGTATGTGAATAATATGTATAAAGGTATTTCTTAAATTAATAAAAAATGTGTAATAAATTTACATATATTTTATTTTATTATAATTATTTATTATTTTTATATATTATTTTAGTTGAATAAATTATCCAAAATGTTCAACTGTTAAATACAATAAAGTATTCTTATGAAGCAAGCTCACCTGGTATCTCGCAGTTATCTCCAGTAAAATCTCCAGAACAAAAGCATATGTAGGAATTTCCAGATACTTGGCAAAATCCACCATTTCGGCATGGATTATTATCACATGGAGAAGCTAACAAAAGATTATACAGTATTAATATAAAAATCAACAATTAAACAACTAAATATTTCTTCCCAAAAATATCCTTACAATAGAGATACTCTTTGAAGGTGATGTATCTCTGTAGTTCTCTCACGATCAAATTATAAAAAAAACTGCTGATTAATTACAAGGCCGGCATGTAAAACTCGAGTCATTGTACTTTCTCTGAACTAAAGTATACAATACCGTCATATTCTTATGCTAATTACTCAACATTTACCTACAGTCTGCTGGCTTTGGGATGGGAAGTCTCAATCATCATTAACCCAACTACTGTATTACATTAATCATCACCATCACTATTATTACAATCATAATATTCATTGTCATAATATCACCACAACTTTTTTTCAATCTCTTCTTTTACACAGTATTCTTCTCATAAATATTGTAGATAGATGTCAGCTTTAAAATAAATTTTGAAGCTTGTTAGGCAAATAATTATATATAATATTTCAAAAATGCTATACAATGTATGTGAATAATATGTATAAAGGTATTTCTTAAATTAATAAAAATGTGTAATAAATTTACATATATTTTATTTTATTATAATTATTTATTATTTTTATATATTATTTTAGTTGAATAGATTATCCAAAATGTTCAACTGTTAAATACAATAAAGTATTCTTATGAAGCAAGCTCACCTGGTATCTCGCAGTTATCTCCAGTAAAATCTCCAGAACAAGAGCATATGTAGGAATTTCCAGATACTTGGCAAAATCCACCATTTTGGCATGGATTATTATCACATGGAGAAGCTAACAAAAGATTATACAGTATTAATATAAAAATCAACAATTAAAAAACTAAATATTTCTTCCCAAAAATATCCTTACAATAGAGATACTCTTTGAAGGTGATGTATCTCTGTAGTTCTCTCACAATCAAATTATAAAAAAAACTGCTGATTAATTACAAGGCCGGCATGTAAAACTCGAGTCATTGTACTTTCTCTGTACTAAAGTATACAATACCGTCATATTCTTATGCTAATTACTGAACATTTACCTACAGTCTGCTGGCTTTGGGATGGGAAGTCTCAATCATCATTAACCTAACTACTGTATTACATTAATCATCACCATCACTATTATTACAATCATAATATTCATTGTCATAATATCACCACAACTTTTTTTCAATCTCTTCTATTACACAGTATTCTTCTTTTTAAATATTGTAGATAGATGTCAGCTTTAAAATAAATTTTGAAGCTGGTTAGGCAAATAATTATATTATATAATATTTCAAAAATGTTATACAATGTATGTGACCAATATGTAAAAGGAATTTCTTAAATTACTAAAAATGTGTAATAAATCTTACATATATTTTATTTTATTATAATTATTTATTATTTTTATATATTATTTTAGTTGAATAGATTATCCAAAATGTCCAACTGTTAAATACAATAAAGTATTCTTAAGAAGCAAGCTCACCTGGTATCTCGCAGTTATCTCCAGTAAAATCTCCAGAACAAGAGCATATGTAGGAATTTCCAGATACTTGGCAAAATCCACCATTTCGGCAAGGATTATCATCACATGGAGAAGCTAACAAAAGATTATACAGTATTAATATAAAAATCAACAATTAAACAACTAAATATTTCTTCCCAAAAATATCCTTACAATAGAGATACTCTTTGAAGGTGATGTATCTCTGTAGTTCTCTCACGATCACATTATAAAAAAAACTGCTGATTAATTACAAGGCCGGCATGTAAAACTCGAGTCATTGAAAAAAAAAATCATAATTCTTTACTGATGTATGAGTTTAATTAATAAATAGGATTAAAGAACCATAAATGACTTTATTAAACAATAAATTTGGATTGTGATACGACATCTTCATGCCCATATATAGGTGTGATAAAAAATTTTGAAAGATGCTGCACTACTGAAACTTGCATTTTAGCCCTTCAGCTGAAAAAAAAGTGAAAGTAATGGAGAAACTGATCGTGATTTTGAAAAATTTGAAAATTTGAAAAAATGGTGCGATACCGAAACTTGCATTTTAGTCCTTCAGTAGAAAAACAGTGTGGAATTTAAAGCAGGGACCAATATAATGTAAGAATCTTATTACACACATTCTCAACAGTGTTAATGTTACTATTGATAAGCATAGTAAGATGATAAATAGGAAAGAAATGAGCAGAAAAAACTTACATGTGGATTCACAGAAAAAACCACTGAATCCGAGTGAACAAGAACAGAGCAATGAGCCACCACTGTCTGTGCACTGCCCACCGTTCTGACATGGAGCAGAGGTGCATGGTAATGGTGCTATGAAAACAATGATATGAACAAGCAAGGATGTAAGCAACTAATTAAATGATGAAAATATGTACAGTAACGCACAAAAGCATGAAGCTGACAACTTTGCGGGGATAGATATAAATATTGATATTGATATTGTACAATATAGTGGTATAATACACTAAAGTTATCTCACGCCTGAATTTTCAATAATGCATGTTTTCACTGGTAACGAAGCATAACATTTGGAACATTATCCTTTCCAAAAATAGTTGTAGGTGGAGTGAAAAAACAACGCACTGTATCAGTAATCAACAAAAAAAATACATATTTAAATTATATCTATAGTGGCTTAGAAAGAGTAAAACAATGACAATTATCATATACTCCAGTACTCTAATAATTTACCAAAAAAAAAAAAAAAAAAAAAAAAAAAAACTACAGTGATAGAACTATATATTTTATACTATTAATAATTTAACAATGATTAATGATTGATTGATTGGTTCTCTTACTTTACAAATTCTACTACTACTGTACTATAACTATTCATTAGCATTAAACCTTAAATTCCACTTTATACAACACCTGTATTATTCTATTAATTTGATTAGTTGAAAACAGGCCAAGAGAAATTGAATTAAAATGAATATTCCATACTTACTTGAGTACTAGTCAACAATGGTTTATTGATATAATGGAGAGAGATACAGAGGAGTTGTATAAAACAAATAATGAATGTTTCTCATTCATTCAATGGGGGAGAATATTTCATGAGGTGAAAGATTGGATGTTCTATTCAACTCGACTAGACTAGACTAGGCTATCGAGTTGAATAGAACGTCCAATCTTTCACCTCATGAAATATTCTACATTATTGCTCTCCTATTAATTCATTATTTGCATAATATAGCATGGCTGTAGGAACTAAAGAAATCACAAAAACACTTAACTATTGAGTATTAAAATATTAATTAAAATGTTGTAGAAAGAAATTGCAATAAAGATAACTTAATATTACAAGTAGATTATTAATATACTTTGGATATAATACATCATAGTACAAAGTGCAACTAAAACTTATCTTAAATAAATTATTCCCTAAAACACTTTATTGCCTTTTAAAAACAAAAACTAACACCTAATTCATTAAACACCATAAACAGATTCAACAATATATCTATTAACAATAACAACCATTAATATATTCTTACAAAAACAATATTAATCTACGACTAAACATGATCCACAGAATCTTCAAAAGACAATACATCTAACAAACAAACAATAAATCTATCAAACCAACATTAACAGATTCTTAAAAAGATAATAAATCTATTACCCAATCTATTAAACATGATTAAACAGATTCTTAAAAAGACAATACATTTATTAAACCAACATTAAAAGATTCTTACAATTAAACAACAAATCTATTAACAATAGATTCTTAAAAAAGAAAATAAATGCATTAAACCAACATTAGATTCTGAATTCGAGGGTGGTTTACCCAGTTATATTGACTATAAAACACTGCTTGGCTCAAACTATTTCTTCCTAAAAACACAAATGAAAGTCAATTAATAAAGAAATAATAAAGATAAAAATTAGCCTACCTTGCTCGCATAAAGTGCCTGACCATCCCTGTACACACGTGCAGTCAAAACGATTTGTTCCGTCAACACATGCACCGCCATTCTGACATGGATTGCTGGCACACTCGTTTGTATCTGAAATAAGGGGAAAAATAACGATAAATCTGCAAACATTGATTATTGTGTACCATGGCTTTCTTAGGCTATGCTTATATTGTTTGATAAGCATGGTTAGGCTATCTTATTCCAGGCATTACCCTTCCCTTCTCTTTTGTGTTCCTGGTTTGTTTTTTGCCAATTTTTTATTTTCCAATCTGAGTTTGGAGTCTGTATACTGTCAGCCTTGAGACGATTCTATTGTGATCCTACCATTACCATTACCCTTAACCCAGGCTAGAACAACCTACCTACATTTCAAAGTTATATCAAAAGGCCTAGTGTATACAAGCCTACGTGCTCTGAGCGTTTAAATATCTTTCAATTAATGCTCAGTGTCTTCGCTGGTCGAGCAATTAGTTTAAATTCCTGAACGCATTTGATTGGGCGTAAACCTAGTGTGATGGCAAGTCTGAACGTAGCAGTGAAAATGTGTACCACGTATCATTATTACAGAAGCTTGATTCAGAAATGGCAAACTAAATTTATCAAAGAACTGAGTTCCACAAACAACAGAAGACACACATTTTGATGTATCAGGTATATCAGAAACAAGAAACCATGCACTATCAGAGTAAAGGTTCATGATAAAATTTTTGTCTCATTTTTGTCTTAGCCCTGTCCAGAACATCAAATTTTATTTGATAAAAACATGACGTGACATGTCTAAATATATAGTCATGATGACATCACAGCATGACCATATATAGGCACATCATTCACATTCCAAAAAGTCATTTTAATACAGTATTTAAACATTCGAACTGATATTTTTAAATGTTTAAAAATGGTTAAAAACAAACCATTCTTGTTAGTGATTTTTTTTAATGCACCCTGTTCACACTTGGAATTAGTTCACACTATTGTCTTCAGTTTAATGCACCAATTTCACATTAGTGTCTTGAATTGAAGATAATGTACCACATTCAAGCCAGTGTTTTTTACTTGTATTAATGTTACGCATGTTCACCAGTCCCATTTGTGTCTTCACTTATACACCACATTCGCATTATTGTCTTGAAAAGGCCGCGACGATCTCTTGCCTCTTGGTCACTGGTTCAATTCAAATCGCTGCTCTCCTTGTATTTCAGCTGGAGCCTGAGGGCTGAAATGCAATTTACAATAGCGCACCCTCTTTCAGATGGGACGATTAAGCTGTTGGTCCCGTGGGCATTATGACCCATGTACATGTTACACACAAACTACAAAGACACACACACACACAATATACTACGGATATAATTCTCAGAACTTTCGAGGGTTATCCTTGGTGAATCACACCGAAGAAATTCAATCCAACGTGATAATAGTCCATCATCAATACAGTACGACTCACCTATGTTGCAGTTTATTCCGGTCCAGCCAGGAGTACAAGTACAGTTATACATACCAAGGCCATCCACGCAGCCAGCTCCATTTTGACAAGGACTTGACGAACATTCATTTATATCTGGAAATAAGTGCAAGAAAATAGCCATATCTCTATGAATTTTTCAGGAAAAATTACAAAATTCCTGGCAATAGATTTTTTTTTTTTCTATTTTATTCCTTTTCGGCAGTACAAACATTAGCTTAACCATCCAAAATGAAAGAGGAGAACTCTGGAGGGATAAAAGTGGTTACAAAAACTACTATTGCCAAAGAGCGTGATTCATTCATTCCTGATGATGACATAATTAATTTCGAAATATTGAATCCCAACACGATGGCGTGTATTTCAATACTTGGAGTATGTATTATACTTTCTTGTCAAAGAGCGTCCTCTCTAACTTCACACACAATACAAACAAACATATGTAAACTTAAAATTGGACCTAACAAGTATTTTACTTAAGCCAATCAATGTTTCTCTATTGAAAGTTGACCATTTGACTGAGTAAAACATGTTCAAATTGGATTTAAATAAAAAGTCACAACTTGATATTAATGGTCAACATATTAAATGTAGTGAAAATAAAGAAATAATTTTGTTTTTTTTAAATTAACGTTTTTATAATCCAATATGATTTTATATCTATTTTTAATGTTATTAATAATAAATCAATAACTGTCTGTCTTGTAATTATATGAAGATATATATTTTATAATGTTAAATGTATTAATCTTTTTTTTATACTATTTATTGTATGTTGTATCGTTTTAACAGGCAATTTCCCACATCTCTTTTCTGTTCGATGTGACGTTGATTTGTTGAAGGTGTGATGTAGAGGTACTTGGTACCTGTTAATTTCTTTATTTTTGCTGCTTTTTCTATATTGCTATTTTGTAACTTATGCTTGTTGTAATATTCAGTGATGAAGCTTATTTTTTTTTTTTTAAGTGTGAACATATAAAAGGATTAAATATTTTGTGAATAAAACTTACCAGGGTTCGTACGTTTTTAAACAAGCAAATTTCCTGGACAATTCCAGGACATTCAAGGTCAAATTTTCCAACTTTCAAGGACACAATATATAGTTTAAAAGTAAAATATCGGCGATTTTACGACTGATTATAAGATGTCTCGGCTAGAACAAGCTCCAGCTCCCTTTTGGCTACCTACTTGAATTAAAACAGTTAGTATAATAGTTCTGGCCTGCTGAGAACGACATGGACTGATAACCGTAGGCTATAGGCCTACTTGGAAGCTTGCTCACCACTAGCTGCTACACAGATTTACGCCCGTATTCTTAAAACAAACTTTAGTCGAACTCCGAACTAGAACTTCATTTAGTGTTAGTTGCATCTTTAACTTCAATTTGTATTCACAAACAATGTAGTCGAAGTTTTAACTACGACTAAATCAAGTCCTAGTTTTAGTTCAACTGAAGACGACTGGCAAGCCACGAAATTTTAGAGATCCGGTAACGCGGATGAATATTAAGCTGCCGTCTGTGGTTCAAAAACGTATTTCCTCATAATTCATAATAGACCATCATTCCCTTAATTAATTGTCTATAATAATAACTATATTAGTTGTTAAAATATTACAATAGAGAATTTGAACAGACATTGAAAATTTGCTTTCTTTAGAGAACTATTATAGTTGAGCCCGAGCGAGGGCGGCGCCATCTTTGTTGTTGTTATGGTGAAGCTAGGTGATTGCAACGCGAGGGGATTACGTGCAAATCAGGAACTATCGTATGCGGCTAGTGAAACATGTTAATTTCTCCTTTTGGAAGCTAAATTTGATCTCTCTTTTGTTTAACACACCGAAGATATATCAAACCTGCGTATATAATCGTTTTTATTCGTTTCACTTTATCGTGAGTTACAAAAAACACGTTTTTAGTGAGGTAAATATTTCAAGTCGGCGATTTAGCTTGACCCTAGGCTGACTAAAAAAATCGGCCTGCGGAGGTATCATTTTAGTCGAGGTTCACGTCATTTAGTCGTAGTGCTAGTCGAAGTTCGTTTTAAGAATACGAAATGAAGTTTTAGCTCGAACTACGACTAAAGTTCGTTTTAAGAATACCAGGGTTAGGCCTTTAGGGTAGAATATTGTTAAAAAGGTAGGCCTCTGTAAGTAAGAACTTTAAAATAGGCCAAGCCTCTACTAATCTAGGCTAGGCCTAGGCCTACTACCTGACTCCAGGCGAGGCCTAGCCATCCTACTGGAAAGTTAAAGTTTTGTTGTGTTTGTATGGTATGCCATCTAGTCTAAGCTTAATTATTGTTTTTGCCATTGCCAACATTAGTCTTACTAGGGTCTATTCTAAATATTTTAGGCCCGTTTTATTAGGGTAAGGCTATTTAAATTTAGTCATGCCTAACCATGGACCTATGGCCAAACTAGTCGACGCGAGTGACTAACGCCCGTATTCTTAAAACAAACTTTAGTCGAACTTCGAACTAGAACTTCATTTAGTGCTAGTTTCAACTTCAACCTCAATTTGTATTCACAAACAACGTAGTCGAAGTTTTAACTACGACTAAAACAAGTCCTAGGTTTAGTTCAACTGAAGACTACTGGCAAGCCACGACTATCAAACTAACCAATGAAAAGGGCAAACTTTAATAGCAGACGAAATTTTAGAGATCCGGTAACGCGGATGAATATTAAGCTGCCGCCTGTGGTTCAAAAACGTATTTCCTCATAATTCATAATAGACCATCATTCCCTTAATTAATTTTCTATAATAATAACCATATTAGTTGTTAACATACTACAATAGAGAATTTGAACAGACACTGAAAATTTGCTTTCTTTGGAGAACTATTATAGTTGAGCCCGAGCGAGGGCGGCGCCATCTTTGTTGTTGTTATTGTGAAGCTACGTGATCGCAACGCGAGAGGATTTCGTGCAAATCAGGAACTATCGCATGTGGCTAGCAAAACATGTTAATTTCTCCTCCTGGAATCTAAACTTGATGTCTCTTTTGTTTAACACACCGAAGATATATCAAACCTGCGTATACAATCGTTTTTATTCGTTTCACTGACCCCTGTATTCTTAAAACGAACTTTAGTCGTAGTTCGAGCTAAAACTTTAAAATTACGTCATTTAGTATTCTTAAAACGAACTTCGACTAGCACTACGACTAAATGACGTGAACCTCGACTAAAATGATACCTCAGCAGGCCGATTTTTTTAGTCAGTCTAGGGTCAGGCTAAATCGCCGACTTGAAATATTTACCCCACTAAAAACGTGAACATTTGATTGGTTCTACAGTTTTGCACTGTGACTCTCAGTTTTGCACTGTGACTCTCAGTTTTGCACTGTGACTCTCACTTTTGCACTGTGACTCTGTGTTTTGCACTGCTGACTCTGTGTTTTGCACTGTGACTCTCAATTTTGCACTGTGACTCTGTGTTTTGCACTAATCAGTTTTGCAATGTGACTCTATGTTTTGCACTGGTGACTCTCAGTTTTGCACTGGTGACTCTCAGTTTTGCGCTGCTGACTCTCGGTTTTGCACTGCTGACTCTCAGTTTTGCACTGCTGGCAATTGTATTTTGTCCTTTTGGCGTTCCATAGGACAGGCGGTAACCCACCCCGCGGCGCCACAAAAGAACCAAGTTATGTGGGCGCGCCGGTACCACAAAAGACACTGTCACGTTTAAGCAAAGATAAGACCATTGTTGTACGCACACACTTATGTTGCCGAGTGGAGAATTCTGCTTCACTGTTAGACTTGCCACAAGTCTCGTATTTTTTATTATTTTTCTCATTCTGGACAGCGCCACCAACGAGAAAGTTAATTTATAGACGGAATAAGCGACTTGTAAAACACTGAAATCAGGCACCAGGATGCCAAAAGAATGACGTAATCT